CTGGCCCCCACCCATCCGTCTCTACGCATTTACTAGTCTTCAGAGTTCACGTAAGTGGGATCGTACAGGGCGTGACCTTTCGTGTCCGGCTTCTTTCACTCAGCATCATGTTTCCAAGGCTCATCCAAGTTGTACCATGTACCAGCCCCTCATTCCTTTCTGTGGCATCTTTACTTCTGGAAGTTTAAAAGCAAATGGGGCCCTGGCTGGTGTGGCCCAACGGTCAGAGCATCGGCCCGTGCGCCGAGGGGTGGCAGGTTTGATTCCTGGTCAAGGGCATGTACCTGGGTTGCAGGTTTGATCCCTGGCAGGTCAGGGCACGTGGGGGAGGCAACCAATCGATACGAGATGTTTCTCTCCCTCTCCTTCTCTTTCCCTCTCTCTCCCCCTCTCTCCCCTTCCCTTCCTCCCCCCCACTCTCTCTAAAAATCAATGGAAAAAATATCCTCGAGTGACGATTAACAACAACAAAAGCAAATGGGGAAAACAAGTTTCAGTGCTTGAAGTGAAAGCATGTTCTTTTTACTATCCATTGAACTAGAAATAGCTTTATATTTGATACACAAAGTCTTCAGAAGGAGAGAAACTCCTTTGATTTTCCCTAAGCTTGTGTACCCCTCCCCACCCCACGCCACACACAATTAAAAAAAAAATTACGCAGGGTCTTCTACTGCGATATAACTAAAGAATGAGCTTTAAAATGTTGTTAGAAGTGGTAAATGACTCATTCCAACAGAAAGCAATTTCACAGTAGTAAAATTTTGACAACGAAGACAAAATATAGCCCTCCCTTAAAAGTTTTATTTTGGAAGTGTGCTTGAGAGAAAAATGGAGCAAGAGATTAGTAGTGCAGAAAGTGTAATAGGGCAATAATGAAAGCTACAAATAATAGGCAGACATTATAAAAACATGGAAACACTGAGGTACAACATAATACACAGATGTAAGCTCTTGAAATTAAACTTATTACGAAAGTGTCTTTATTCAGTGGTCCCATTTCGCCAGGGTCACCTGGCTAGCACACCACCACCAACCATGAGGCCCCAGGTCACCGGTGACAGACATCCTCAGACAAATCAAGCCACACAGACACTGGAGAGTAGCGAGGACTATCTGTATCACGTTTCAGGGAAGGGGCACTTGGTATCTACAGGTGCACTGACAACCCTGGGGTTCAGGGTGGAGATTAGTACCACTAACCCATTTTAAAAGACAAGAACCGTAGGTCAGGCAGGAGCTCCGGGAGGCATACTTCCTACTGCCAAGTGTTGGGGTTTCAGGAATATTCCGATTATTTGTGAAGAAAACTGCAGAGAAAAGGTAGCCTAAGAAGACATGTGTTGAATTCCTGGACCGTTCTGCTATCAGACGAGAGCCTCTCACAGCTGATGTTACGTTCAGCCCCTCATTCATTTTTCCTACCTTTGGGCTCTCAGAGAAAGTTTGGATTTACACGAGCATACAGTGGTCCTTGCAGGGAATGAACGAGTCTTTGGTGGGGGGATTTGTCAGTGCCACCCTTCTCCATGACAACATAGGCCTAGGCAGTTCTTTAAATGTGTGTTCTGTCCTGTAAGCGCAGAAAGTAAGATTCAGAGACCCTCCACAACGGTCGGGTAAAATGGTGCACAGATAACAAAGCAATACATGTATATAACATAATCCTATTGAATATATAATCTGTTCGTAATATATATGCTTTCTAAAACTCAGAAAATGTGTATTTAAAATGAAATCAAAGAAAATGCAACTTAATCTCAAGAACACCAGACTTCTGACATTTTCCCACGCGTGTTCTGAGAAAAGAGAAGCATAAATATGTCCTTCGATCCTGATCTGGAATATTCCATCAGCTTCGCCCTGCAGGGTGGTACCAAGCCTGCCAATGGAGGTGCAGGGCTGTGAGCGGATCAGGGGGTGACTCCACTGCGGTACCCACGAGGGCCAAGCATGACACCAAATGCCCCCGGGGCCCCCCTCTGGTGCCTGCTGTCAGTCTGCAGAGGAGTCCCCGAGGCTGCGGTGGGCGGACAAGCCCTTCCCACCAGCACAGAATCCGTGCAAAGGCTCCCCAAGTGCCAGAGAATGGGCGGCCCTCTAGTGATGGCAGCTGCCGCCGCTTGAACGCACGGGGTCTCCTCACCCCGGGCCTTGGCAAGGCTCGTGGCTGAGTCTTCTCCTGGTTCAAAGCAGCCAACCCTGCCCAAGCCTCTCCGAACAGCCCCAGAGATGAGCTGGGCCTGCGGCATCTGGTCAACACGGAGCAGGCGTCACAGGGCCTGGCTTATGCCACTGGGCGGCCCTTGGGAAGTCATGCAACTCCTGTTTTCTTGCCTTTGTGGAGTCGGTAACATTGTCGGAAATCCCATGAGGGCACATAAATACAAAGACACATGCCAACAGGTTGGCACTTCTTAAAGAAATATAGGAAAAGAATGATCTGAACAGAGTT